CGCCGCGCCCTGCCGGGATGCGCTACCCCCTTGGGATGTGACAGCCAGACCCGGACGCCTGGGTTCGGGCAGCAGGGCGGGGGGGGTCTGTGCGTCTCTCCGGCGGCCAGCATGGCCTCCCCACCCGCCTGCGCCGGGCCCCCGGCCCTCCCCTCTTCCCCCAGCACCCCGGGAGGGTGCCTGGCAACCCCGGAGCTCGCCTCGCTGCCGCCGGGATCCTGCGCCGCTTGCCAGGGAGTGTCGTTCCACATCCAGATCGGGCTGACCCGGGAGTTCGTGCTGCTCCCAGCCGCGTCGGACTTGGCCCATGTCAAGCAGCTGGCGTGCTCCATAGTGGACCAGAAGGTAAAGGGTGGAAGGGGGTGGCCGGGGGGGGCGACAAGCGGAGGAACCAGGAAACTCTGGGCCCAAGAGAAGGGAGAGGCGCTGACTCGGTGTGTGTGTATTTGTGTCTAGATCGGCCCCTGTGTGTGTGTGCTACTGCTGTGTTTGTGTCTCTAAACTGGGATGTGTGACCCATGGGGTGAAGGGTGTGTGGGGTGTACTTCTGGCTGCAACTGTATGTTATGTGACTGTGTATCTGTATCATGGGTGTGGAGTTGTGTGTATGATAAGATGTGTGATTGTGTATTTGCCTTGTGAGTGTGTGAATGATTGTGGCAGGTGACAGTGCTATTGCATGTTGTGTAGCCCTGTTCTGATGGTGTGACTGCGACTGAATGTTGTGTGTTTGATTGTGGGGTCTATGCATTTGACTGTGCGGTTGTGTGATTGTGAATCTGCATGGTTGCGTGTGACTGCAGTTGTGGGTTGTATGGATGAATGTGGTGCATGTGGTGAGACTGTTTGCATGACTGTGTGCTTGGAATTGCGTGTGTCCCCATGGTGGGTGGGTGTCTAGGAGCCGGTATGAGCAGCCTCCCTGATAGGAAGTGTTAACGTCAGTTGTGTTGTTTTGATGCTGTGCAAGGTGGAGGGGCTGGGCAGGTCTGGGCCCTGGGGGATGGGGAAGGAAGTGGAAGCAGGGGGGATGTGGGAAGTGGTGGGGCGGTAGCCCCACGGAAGGTCTGAGAGAAAGCAAGCTGAGGCCACACACTGGGCCGGGACTGGGTTCCATCGGCACCCATATCTCTTCATTTGGCTGGAAACCAGGGATGTTAAACTGCGTGTAAATCTAGTAACCACGGAAAATTTCAGCGGTTACATGGTCACACGTGGGGTGCCAGCCAGCTCCCCGGGAGCCAGTGCGTGCCGGGAGCCAGCTTTTGCTCCCGCCTGCTGGTAGAGGCAGCAGCATGGGAAGGCAGCCGGCTCCCCGGGATTCGGACCCGGAGGCCCGTGTAACTGTTTACATGGCTACACTCCTACACCATTATGGGAAACTGCAACTTTGGAGGTTTGGGGGCCGAGTTCTGTGCTCCTCGTCCTCTCCCAGGGGATGGGGTCATCCCGCGCCTGTTCCCCAAAGCTGCAGGGTTTGGCCAACAAGTGGAAATTCTGCCCGGCCTGGCCGTGGCTCCTTGCCTGATAGGAAAGGGACGAAAGGGTTTCCAGCTCCCAGAATCTTGGCTGGGAAGAGCTGAGGGGCCAGGCCCTGGTCTGGGTGCCGGAGGGCTGTGCTGAGAGGTCGGGGAGTTCAGCCGTGCTGGGAATTCGGGTGCGGGTGACGGAGGGTTTACCGCAGGGGTCAGCGACCTTTTGAAACACGGGATCACTTGTGGAGTTGCTGTGCAATCCAGGATCTGCCTCCGACCCAGCCACCCTGGCCCCGCCTCCTTCGTGCCCCTTCTTCAAGGCCCCGCCCCTGCTCGCCCCATCCTCCCTCCCTTTCCCCAGTTGGGGCAGCGGGTTGGGGGGCAGGCTCTGGTCTTGGACAAAGGGGTTTGGAGTGCGGGAGGGGCTCTGAGCTGAGCTCCGGGCAGGCAGTTGGGGTGCTGGAGGGGTTCGAGGTGCAGGCTCTGGGAGGGTGTTTGGATGCAGGGATGCTAGGGCAGAGGCTTGGGGTGCAGGAGGGGGTTCCTGACTGGGGCAGGGGTTCAGGCTCCGACTGGGCCCTGCTTACCTCAGGTGGCCCCTGGGTGGTGGTGCCGTGGGGCTAACGCAGGCTCCCCCCTGCCCTGGAGCACTCCCGCAAGCAGCCAGCAAACTCCATCCCAAGTCCTGTTGTGCCCCCCACTCTGCTCTGTGGAGATGGGATACACGGTGGGAGGGGGGCACCATGACATCAGCGCCCCTCCTCTCCCTCCCCGGCCCTGCACAGCGAGCAGGCAGCAATGCGGAGGAGGGGCACTTGAAGTGCCGACACTTGGTAGGCTCTTGGCCAAACCAGTCAGGATCCCCTGTCCGAGGCTCCGAGATCTCCCGGCGGATCCGGATCCGCCAGGTGGGGACCGCTGGCTACAGTTCATCTTTCAGGCACAATCGTTTGGCGTAACGAGCTCCCCCCTCCGTATAGCCCCACAAGGCCCACCACATCCCAGGCTGTGGCGGGGCCGCGGAGGGATGCATCACATCCCTGCTCTCCTCCGAGCGCCGGGCGGTGGCTCTGCCCTCGGATGGGCTGTGCCTGCATGGCAGGGCCGGGCAGGGGCCCAGTCTCTGCTGGATCTTGTCACCCAGTGGCTCAGACTTCCGACTCCTTTCGTACAGCAGCCCTCTGCTGCGACCCCCCTCCCCGGGCGTTCACACCGCTTCCCTAGCCAGGCGTGGTTAACCCCAGTGCAAATGCTGAGCGGGGTGTGTGTGGGGGGGTAGTAACTGCACGACCCCCCACCCCTGAGTGTGAGCCCCTGTTCTAGCTAGACCCCACTCGTTGCACCTGGGCCCAGAGTCTAGGCAAGGAGCGACGTAGCAGCAGGCGCGGAACCGATCCAGGTCAGTAGCCCTTGAGCTTGGCCCAGACTTGGTTCATCCTTCAGGCCTTGGACCCAGCCTCGGCAGGGGGGTGGGAACAGACGATGCCCCAGGATCCCAGAGCCTGGTTGTGAGGCCTGCAGGGGTGTCCCTCTGCAGGGTGGTGCACTCGTGTGTGTGGAGGGGGTGGACAGGGAGGCCTGGAGGGAAAGGCACTAACAGTAGGAGCTGTGGGGCATGTGGGGGAGGGTCCAAAGGGTAAACAGGGGTGGCTCTTGGATGGGAGACCTCAGAGATGCTCAGGAAGAGATGTTGGGGTCAGGTGGAAATGTTACAGGATCGGGAGCCAGGACTCCTGGGTTCTGTCCCCCAGCAGTGGGCAGGCAGTGGGGGCTAGTGGTTAGAGCCAGGGGGTGGGGCTGGGTTCCATTCCTACACAGCTGTAAGGCCTGTGACACGTCCCCTCACGGCGCCCGTTTCCCCGGCTGTATGGTGTTACTGACTCTCCTTGGACCGTACTGGGCTTTGAGCTCCATGGAGGTGCTGAGCTGTTATTAAAGCTCCCACGGCTGTTTTTACATGGGCAGGGCTCCTCACTCAGGTCTCCTGGCTAAATTCCAGTCTGGCTAATTGTCTTCCACTTCCTTAAATTCCTGCCTGTAGTTTCAGTTTGGCTCATTCTTTTCTTCCTCTGTTCTGGACCATAGCGAGCTTGTACGGCTGTTGAGGAGCTGTTGTGACTGCATCTTAGTGCTGGGAGAAGGATCCCTGTATAAACAGCTGCCAACCCCATTCCAGAGGTGGCTGCATTTCAGTGCTAGTGGGGGGGGGGGCCCAGTACTGCTATCCACCGTGCTTCACCCCAGAGGGGGCTGCATTTCGGTGCTAGGGGGGGGGGCCCTAGTACTGCTATCCACCGTGCTTCACCCCAGAGGGGGCTGCATTTCGGTGCTAGGGGGGGGGGCCCTAGTACTGCTATCCACCGTGCTTCACCCCAGAGGGGGCTGCATTTCGGTGCTAGGGGGGGGGGCCCTAGTACTGCTATCCACCGTGCTTCACCCCAGAGGGGGCTGCATTTCGGTGCTAGGGGGGGGGGCCCTAGTACTGCTATCCACCGTGCTTCACCCCAGAGGGGGCTGCATTTCGGTGCTAGGGGGGGGGGCCCTAGTACTGCTATCCACCGTGCTTCACCCCAGAGGGGGCTGCATTTCGGTGCTAGGGGGGGGGGCCCTAGTACTGCTATCCACCGTGCTTCACCCCAGAGGGGGCTGCATTTCGGTGCTAGGGGGGGGGGCCCTAGTACTGCTATCCACCGTGCTTCACCCCAGAGGGGGCTGCATTTCGGTGCTAGGGGGGGGGGCCCTAGTACTGCTATCCACCGTGCTTCACCCCAGAGGGGGCTGCATTTCGGTGCTAGGGGGGGGGGCCCTAGTACTGCTATCCACCGTGCTTCACCCCAGAGGGGGCTGCATTTCGGTGCTAGGGGGGGGGGCCCTAGTACTGCTATCCACCGTGCTTCACCCCAGAGGGGGCTGCATTTCGGTGCTAGGGGGGGGGGCCCTAGTACTGCTATCCACCGTGCTTCACCCCAGAGGGGGCTGCATTTCGGTGCTAGGGGGGGGGGCCCTAGTACTGCTATCCACCGTGCTTCACCCCAGAGGGGGCTGCATTTCGGTGCTAGGGGGGGGGGCCCTAGTACTGCTATCCACCGTGCTCGACCCCAGAGGTGGCTGCATTTCGGTGCTAGTGGGGGGGCCCCAGTACTGCTATCCACCGTGTTCCACCCCAGAGGTGGCTGCATTTTGGGGCCTAGTGTTCAGCTTTTGCTCGGTGCTTTGTGGCTGGTAGAAATGGGTGCCTGCCAGTTGCTAGGCCTTACCCTGATCTTGATCTAGCCTTGAATAGAGGGCTGGTCCCTGAAGCCTGAGCTGGGCCAGAGAGCTCCCTCCCTTCCAGAGTTTATTGCTTGCTGTTGTGTGCCTGCTTCCTGCAGATCAGTAACAGGTTTGGCAGCAGCCGGGAGAAGGGAAAGCCTGACTCAGGGATTAACCCTTGGCTGGCCAGCCCTGCCGGAGGAGAAGGAGGTCAGTGTGACTGTCCCAGCGCTTTGGGGACACCCTAGAGTCAGCCAGCTGGCTGGGGGAAGTGTGTGGTTGTTCCCATTTCCCCTGGGGTGGGGGATGCTCCAGCTGCCTCCCTGCTCCCCCCTCCCTTCTCTGTGCAGGGATCAGTTTGCTGGTGGGGCTACAAGGGGAGAAGGATGGAGCATCTGAGTCACCCCTGCCCCCTAGACCTGCCCTGATAGCTGGAAAACCATTCCCTGCCTCCAGAAATAGAGAGAGGGGGGGACCCCCCCCCCCCCCCCCACACACACCCCCTGCTGGGACGATTCCAAAGGGGGCCTGCTTTGGTCTCTTGTGGCGCTGCACCCCAGAGCGGGCTGCATTCAGTGCTTGGGGGGCAGCCCCCCTAGCTCAGCAGGGATAAGGCAA